AGATAATGACGTCGAACTTGCATACCTATATTTTGTATTATGTTGCGCTCTTCTCAGGCGAAACTAAATGTATGTCAAAATTATAAATGCTCATAATAACGATCTTCTAAAACTTTTCCAATGAATCATTTTAAACGTATGTGAGCGGTAAATTCAGAACATATTGATCATTCTAGATGGAGAGTTGTTTCATTGGCACTCATACCACATCTTATATCTTATATCTAGTGAAAGAAACGAATATTACATGTACAAATCATTTATAAAGTGAGTATGGTCTGTATTTAACTCCAAAAAGGGCATGGTGTTTCGAAGTTCAAGGTGAAACTTGCAACAAATATACCCATTTTTATATCGGACATAAAGCAAAATCAGCGGACAAAAAGCAAAACGGACAAAAAGCAACGGACAAAAAGCAAAAGTGTCGGACAAAAAGCAAAATTATAGGACAAAAAGCAAAACGGACAAAAAGCAACGGACAAAAAGCAAAAGTGTCGGACAAAAAGCAAAATTATCGGACAAAAAGCAAAAGAGGACAAAAAGGAAATTGCGGACAAAAAGCACCGTATCAAACGTTTCCGCATCCTTTTGTTAAATGCAATATTAGTGAAAACTGTCTTAATAATTTGTAAATCAATGAAATATCTGACAAATCATACGTATTTAACGTTTGTAACTCATGTTATCTAGTTTGTTGATCCAAAGTGTAATTTTGGTACAGGTTAATGGAAATAATATTTGATCCGTTTATATCTCTAAGAATATTTCTTAAAATTTCAATAATAACCGGCGAATTTCTGAAAAAAAACCGTTATATGTGTTACTGCAAGAACAATACAATGAATACTTTATTGCGATACTTCATCAATGTTCTTTTTCGTTGTTGTTTTCAACTATACTTCATCTATATTATGCTCAACTTCTTTGGAGCAGGATCTGCATAACTTTCCGGAGCACCATCAATTACCACCAGTGGAGTTTGTGTTGCTCTGCCATTTTTTTTTTGTTAGTAGTGTTTTGTAAACTTTTTTGCTTTATTTTGTTTTTTTTCTAAATGCATAAAAACGTATATAAGTCTTAGAAAAAACAGATAAGTACATTCGATAATGTTTCTACTAGTTATCATACCTATCAATTGACTATTTATGTTTTGTCCCTAATGTCAATTTTAAACAATTTAATAAATATCAAATGCATGTATATTTGATATAAGAATTGATATCATGTACTCTCCCAAATTTCTTTCTGATAGGGTATATTCTGTGGATGTGTGTCTACAAGGCTGAAATGAAAGGCACTATATATCTTAGACCGTATAAGCGGGTTTGAAAATTACACAAGCTAAAAAAAAAAAAAAAAAAAAAATTGACAACAACTGTATTTTTGACAATGGAATAAATAACAATTTGAAGTATATGAATTTTGTGAAATGCATGGAAATTTCCAAAAATTGATGGAAGCTGGAAGGTGCTGTCATTTCTTAATACTATTGACAGAAACCATATTTGATTAAATGTTGCTATTTTGAATTTTATTTAAGGCGAAGTATACGTAATTGCACGCCTCTAGCGGAACTTGGGATAAAAAACGTACGTCGTTAGTTACGCAAGTTATCTCCCCTACTCCAAGAACGGGAAATGGGCACATGAAAGAGAAATGACTTCGTGCGGTCTATCATGAATCCAAACAAGTATCCCGTGCTTCCTCAAAACTTAAAAAAAAAAAAAAAATATCAGAATGACTCCAATTAGAAATATGAGTATACTATTGTGAGTTAGTCTGTCTATATTACCACTGTTTATGTTTCTGACACGCAGGAGGAGCAAGTACACAATACGACTCGTGTTTATTTCAACAACAAGTAAAAACGCCTAAACAACAAAACTATAACCAAATAAATAAATAAACCATTGACAATTTCTACTTCTAGTCGTATCAAACTCGTTAAAATCAAATCAAAATTGACCCCCACAATATTATTTGAAAAATCATAGTTTTGAATGAAATTCACATTGTAGCGTAAAATTGTAGATAACGAATTATTGCATGTGAATTTGTATGGTGAACTATAGAAAGACGTTGGCATGTCTCGTTTTTTATGCAATTGATAATTTTAGGATAATTTATATTTATGTGAAACGTATAAAAGATACTACGGAGTAATCGACCACTAGTGCAACATTTATAACATGAACATGTACAAGTCGAAGAACAAAGCTAACAGCCAAAAAAAAAAAACCCTAAAAAACCAACATGCATCAGATTCCATCCACAAAACATTACACAGAAACTAAGAATTGAGCACTATAACATTTATCCCAGAATAAGTAAGATCTATATCATCCAAATCTCAGTTCTGCAAAAATAAACAGGTGTCTTCTATTCCATCCGCAAATTTTAGGGAAAGTAAAATCTAAATTTAGAACCATGGTTGAAACTGAAACTACACATGTATCATGATAAAAATAGAACAGTCATGGTGTTATTTCTTGATCAAATTCCAATTTCGAAGGGATAGCGAAATTTGTATTTCTTTTGTTGTCCTTAAATATGTCATTCATAAGTATTGAATTTTGAAGTAAAAATTTTCTTCTCAAGTCTCAATATTGAAGATTATGATAGAATAGAGTATAAGAGTATAAGGTAGGGAAGAAGGGGGAGAGTTTAGAAAATAATGTTACAATTTTTGGGCCTTTTATAACCGACTATATGTTATGGATTTTTGTCAATGATGAAGGCCGTATGGTTGCCTATTATAATTGCTTACATCCACTACAGTCAGTAACGAAGATAGCTGGGGTGTCTAAATGTTCGACGATAGATTATTCGTAAACTTCTGTAAAAGACTTCTCGGTCAATGAAATTTCAAATTTCAATATAAGAACCGATCGATGGCTCACGGACCTTGATTTTTCGTAATAGTACATTGAAATTAACGACATTTGGGGTATTTTGTTTTGTGTATATAGGGGAAACTTAAGTTTTCCTTATTGAAGAAACATTAAACGATAGAATTGGCTTAAATTCGATGAGAGAATTGCTTTTCATTAATACTGAAATATCAAAAAAAAAAAAAAAAACAATACAATAGGGGGTCACGGGCCTTATTATCTTAACAATCAAAAACATTATTGATAGTTCAATCTTTAAATTTCAAGTTTTATGTATTTTGTTGTATATTGAATGATACTTGGTAAAATGTTTTTAAAACAATAAAGTATTTTTGCAACATGACCAGAACGGACGCTCAGATAAAAAAAAACCCTATCTACCTTAAACTGTGGCAGATAGTTGTCTCATTTCTAATCATACCACATATCCTTATTTTTATATTATATTAAAAAAAATCAATTCATTTACGTTAGATACAGGCACAATTTGTATTATTTATATACATTAGGTAAACTCATATAGTATAACATAATGAACAGTCTCCTTGCCAACTTCCGAAGCAAGGTTGTCGGTTCTCCGAACTTTCCCGAAGTCCTGAGTTTATTGCCGACTTTATGAGTTTCGGTCCTTGCTTGGAAGTTGTCTCCTTGCATTACTGGATACATTCTAATAAAATTACACTAGGTACATTTTTAGCACCATACTGTATGGATACATCCGTACATTTATAGCATTACACCAGTACATTTATAGCATAAAACTATACACTATACAATACGGCTATAGCATTACAATATACACAATGCTAAGGCATAACACAAGCAATGATCTGTGCAACGGGAAGTTATATATATAAAAAAAACTCCGATCTGTTTTATTTAGCTGAAATTCATATGCGGGTTCTTCTTTTGACGTTATTACAGCAAATCACAAGATAATATGCATATGCGATTTCTTATATTTTGGGAGTCGTACATCATGTACATGTGGATATTAAACAAATAATGGTACAAGAAATTATTTCCCTTGTTACTGAAACTCCAGCAACCATTATATCATGCTTTGTCATGTAGTTAAAGAAAAGGGAAAGCGATCGAGATAGTAAATTTAAAAATAAATTTGCAGAGTTGTGTCACGTGCACATGTGTGATCCTGACAAATAGAATGGGTTTTGTACGCAATACCTCGAATAGCATAGGAAATACTGAAAATGAAAAGAAGCAGAAAATTATATTTACCTTTTTTTCAAAAACAAACACACAGAAATAAGATTTAAAGGGCACTAGCTGTCAAATTCATGTTCACCGATTTGACTCAAATTCTCATATTTGATTTATAACAAAGTAAAACATTTATCCAAATTATGAAAAGTCTAAAATAAACAATATACCGGACATGGGCTCGATGATATGTAGCTTCGTTTCGTGTGTACTTTAGTCTAGACGCCATCTAATTAACTGTCGAGTTGACCCCCGAAGACCTCCGATTGCCATATAAGCTATATAAACATAAATATAGATATAATAGATATCAGATTCGTGCATTTGATTTTTCTACGTCTGTTTAATTTCATATCATAGATTTAAAATATATGTTAATCATCGTTTTTACCTGTATAAGTATTAGATACTATACAAAGGTAACAAAGAAACAGGCCGGTAACAAACGTTGCCGGATAGTTTTTCTGCACGAGTAGTCAGGTGAAGGTCCGAGGCGATAGCCGAGGACCTTGACCTGACTACAAGTGCAGAAGATATGTGAAATTTAAATTAAAAATCTGTGGAGTAGTTAATTCCGTTCACTTCGCCTTAACATGCACTAGTTTTTGCAGTTAAAAGTCAAATCTGCAGACTAGATTGACTTATTTGGTGTTGATTTTTGAATAAGGAAAAAACACCTCAGGTATATTGGGATGAAATGGTAGTAAAGGATGATTTTTACTATGTTTACGTTCATTAAGTTCATTGTTTGAATATTTGTTCCATATTTGTTTGTTGCCATTATATCGAACATAGTTATTTAATACGCATATGTCGTAGGGACTTAATTGTTCAAAGTGAAAATAACATGATAACAACGCACTAATGCGTTGAATAATAAAACAAACATTTCGAAATGTATACATTATCTATTGTAATGTCATATCTTGAAGTGGACATTAATTTCTTGTACTTCAATAACTAACACGTCGAGTTACCTGAAAAAGAAACAATGTATATTCACACTTTTTTTAATATAGCATATTGTGCTTTATCACTGTTATTATATTGTTAGCGATAAATTCGATGCATGATAATAATCTTTATAAGTTTTCGTACCGGAAAGTGAAACTTAATTGGTTACACAGAAAAACAAGCAAACATCTTATAAAAGGCATGTCATTGAATAAATAGAGTATCAAATTTATACAAAATACAAACAAAAATATATGGGGAAGTAATAATGAACATACAAAAGGTGATAAATTGATCATGAAGATATGATTATGGTAAAACCTTCCTAAATAAAATCTTTAACGTCTTCAAACCTTCTAATAAATATTTTTAAGACATGTTAAATGGTTTCCAAAGCTTTTTCCTTGCTGTTGAATTTAACTCCCAATAAGTATCATGCACATTGCTAACAATTTGTAAGACGTTTACAGTTGAATATATTGTGGGTTGACTATATGAATCATTGTTTTGTCTACTGTGTTGTCCTTGTTTCGATACGTCAAACCTAGCTTTTCTACAAGCTTGTGTCTTAAAGTAACGTCAAATGATCCAATAGAGGTGAAAGAGGCGATACTTGATTTTGCAAATAAACGTTTAAGGGTTAAGAAAAAGAAACAAATGGCAAGGAAACAAAAATAGTCCAAAGATACATGGTGTTATAAAAAGAAATGAACATGAATATAATATTTGAAAGAAATGTACCAAAATGACATAAACATAAAATCATTTCACTGACTGAACAGAAATTAGCTAACAGGAAAGAGAATTATTCACGTCAAAAATATAATAGCAGACTTGTTTTTGTACTGTTATGAATCACAGTTTATGACCAAATTCAGTAAAGACCCGTCTAAATTGCATTTAATTGATAAATTCAACAAAACTTACCATTAACTTGATGATATTTTTTCGTTTAATAATCAAAATATTTTCTAAATATACTGCCGAAATTAACCCAAAGGAACTCACTTAAAATAAATCAAATTTAAACGGAAATAACTGTCCTTTTCTAGATTTAGATATATCGGTATTACACGGGAAACTCCACACTAAAATTTATGACAAAAGGAACGATTTTTCGTTCTTTATTGTTAATTTTCACTTTTTGGATGGTGATGTTCCTTTGGCACCATCTTACGGTGTTTATATCGTTCGCTATGCCCGTGTTTGTTGTGACGTTTTTAATTGTATCGAACGTAATCTATGTATTACTGGTAAATTATTAAGCCAGGAATTTCATTACCACAAATTAAGAAAACTCATTTCAAACGGGATAGCACATCCTCATTTTTACGGAGGTGTTGTTAGCCGTGCCTGGAAATTTAGAAACGATCCTGGTAAACTTATCGATCCTTTAAATAAACTTATTCTAAAGGTTACCAATTCAACACTGTAATTAGATCATTGAATATTGTTTTTATTGGTATTAATATTGATTTTGTTATCAGTAAATTCAAACTTAATATTATTGGTATATACATATACACATTCATTGATCTACAATCTGTCGATACCTGTATCTTGGCATTGCACAAGGTCATGTTTTTCTCTGACTGTTTATGACGTCTTTACACTAAATCCATTTGATGTTGGATGTGTACTGATTACTAATTTAGTCTTAGATGCATGATGTTTTGTATTAGTTGTTATCGGCTTTGAACAACTGTCAGTAACTGCGAGTACTCTCAGATGTGTACTTAGTGTCCTTTTGTTGTTGGGATATACAAATACCTTTCCACGTCACCTCTGTGTTTTTGTTAGATGTATTTCTATTTGTATCCATCAAATGAGTTAAGCCTTTTTCAACTGATTTTTATAGTTAGCTCTTTCGTTGTACTGTTACACCCTGTCCCAGGTCAGGGGGAGGGTTGGGATCCCGCTTACTTGTTCAACCCCGCCATATTCTGTATGTATGTGCCTGTCCCAAGTCAAGAGCCTGTAGGTCAGTGGTTGTCGTTTGTTGATATGTTACATATTTGTTTTTCGTTCATTTTTTGTACATAAATTATGCCGTTAGTTTTCTCGTTTGCATTGTTTTACATTTTCATTTCGAGGCCTTTTATAGCTGACTATGTGGTATGGGATTTGCTCATTGTTGAAGACCGTACGGTGACCTATAGTTGTTAATTTCTGTGTCATTTGGTCCCTTGTGGAGAGTTGTCTCATTGGCAATCATAATACAATACAAATGTAATGCTCCACATCAAGATAATTCGTTTCATCAATAGATATAGATGATAGGAAATATTTACACTCTAGAAAATATCAGTATTAAAAATTGATATTGCTTTTGAGGTACCTATTTTTTTTTTCAATTTTAAGTTGTTTCTAATTAACCATGTTTCGACTTCTCAATCATTGTGAAGTATGTACTAGAATTATCACGTTTACGACCAAATAATACTAGCTTTATTTACGTACTGGGAAGACAACAGAACTCTGCGTAATAACAATCTGCATGCGATCTGTAATCTTTATAGAATCCAATCGGACAATAACTACGTCCACATTTACCTCCATGTTCTTCACAAGCGCACCCAGAACCTGTAACGCACATAATGAGTAGTGAATTATGATGAATTTGAAGTTATGAGGAGATTTCTTTACAGATAAAGGACAATTTTAGTAGCTGAAGTGCCATGTCTTTTGAAATGTTTTGTGTTTATGACTTGTTGTTATAAATTCAAGATTTATCATCAAATAAAGATGATTAACTGAGATCTCTAAATCTGGTTCTTTTTTTCATTTCTGGTTTTATTACATATTACATATAACATATAACACTATGCGATGAATATTTTATCTCTTTTCTTCGAATTTTGTATGCATGTTCAATGTAAATATCTATGATATATGTGTTATAAATTCAGGATTGATCATCAAATAAAGATGTTAAACTGAGAACCCTAAATCTGGTTCTTTTTCCTTTCTGTTTTTTATTATACATTAGATATAACACTATGCGATGAATATTTTATCTCTTTTCGAATTTGTCATCATGTTCAATGTAAATATCTATTCTATATGTACTTATGCAGTATTTTTCAGCAAAAATGATTATAAAAATGATTATGCAATTTTTAAATAATTATAACTCACATGTTCCACACAAGATCATTAATAGACAAGCAACAAATATCATATGTCCTTGCTTCATGATCAGTTGATTAAGTCCTTAAAATATAAAGTATTTCTGTATTTTTACTGTTTTTGTTTCGACTCTATATGTCAAAATATGTCGCAGATATTATATTTAGCAGTTGTACTCGAAAATATTGGTAGATGAAGCATTCATAAAATATAGAATTCTAGAAGCCTTTGCACGGTTTAATACTTCAATTATTTGTGAAGATGTGGTTCATTGATAGTCTCCGATGATAAAATGCAATCAACAGCAAAAAAGTGTATGATTAAAAAAAATTTATTATAGATTTACAATTTTGAAATTACTAAAGTCAATGTTAAAACTCGGTTTGCAAATGTCTCAGGAATTGTTGACCAGTGTTATTGTTGTTGGTTTTTTTTATATAGGTATTTGTTTCCAAATATTTAAGAGCAATTCTCTGTAACCACCAACCATTTTATATAGGGGGGTCGGCACGCATAATCACCGATTTTCATGAAACTTCGCCAAAACATGTGATCATGTAAGAAAGTAAGAAAAATGCCCCCAAAATATTGCTAGGCCATGGTTTCCATGGCAACCAAGTGAATGAGACTTCCCGCAAATTTTGAGGAATTTAGCATCGAAAATACAACTACTTTGCAGTCATTCATAATGAAAACCAGGTTTTATTTATTGATATTTGTGAATAGTTTTCAGAAACATGAAACTTAACAAACAAAATAGCAATGTAATATATAAAAATTATTTTTGCTGAATATTGTCACAACCGCATAAGCAGAGGTCATTTTTCATTGTAGTTGAGTAGACAAATTTCACACATTTTGCATGAACAAAATAGGCATTTTTGCATCCACCTCCATTCAAGCTGTGGTTATGAATTAAAAGTATCAATGTTTCTTATCAATAAATTATAACAAAATGTTTGGGATATTGGGTTCTAGGATGGTTGCTATGGAAACAAAAATGTGTCATTTTTGCCTTTTTACCTCTAAAATGAGGCCATGTTATTAAAATAATCCACAAAAAGTAATAATTATTGAATGACTATGATGTGCAAACTATTGGAAATTAAATTACCATAAGTTTGTCCAGAGGTCAAAGGTCAATGATGACCTTGAACTTTGACCTTGTGTATATTAATTGAATTTTGAAAGGAAATCTAATAGAAAGAGGCATACTATACATGGAGAAAATGTTCAGGACGTTTTAAGCAACTATTTTATTAACATATGAAAAAAAAAGAGTCAAGGTCATGTCAAAAGTGCTTAGCAACCAACCTTATTTGATAAAAAAAGTACCTAGTAACCTTACATGATTTCATTCAGGACTATATAAACTATTACATAGACCTAACTTAAAAGGTGGGGGAGGGGGTTGTCATCACATTAGTTTTAAAGAATCATTTATTTGAAGTGTAAAAATGCCTAGCAACCATTCATTTGTGTTAATAAAGTGCCTAGCAACCATCTATTTATATTGAAAAAGTGCATAGTAACTATTTATTTATTTAGAAAAACTGCGCAGCAACAATATATTTATTTAGCTTTCATTTGGACAAAAATCCGAAAAAAATAATGTTAAACATGCAGTTTTCTTTAAGAACACATGTCTAATCCAGAATAGTAAATAATACAGCAAATTCAATTTCATGAAACATGATTACACATTCAAATATAAAAATTTAAAAGATGTCGTCCGATGAGACAACTTTCTAGAAGACAACCAAATGTTATTTTTAAGACAGGTTCTTTGAATCTACAAGAAGAAGAGAAAAGGAATATAACTGCTAAGAGATCGACGAGTTTATTTTTTTGGATGGGATTGGCTTTTCGAGCTTAGACAAAATATTCATTTACAATGACACATTTTTGTTTCCATAGCAACCATCCTAGAACCCAAAATCCCAAACATTTTGTTATAATTTATTGATTAGAAACATTGATACACCCCGGTTTTTTTATTTCAAATCGTTTGTGGCTGATGTGCATCTGAATGTACAGAAAATTCGTTTTCAGCATGTTTTGTGCAATATTATTGATCTTCAGATCAAGACACTATCACATTCATTTCCTTAAACATCCATTATCCCCATCACAAAATATAAAATGATCTTTCCTAACTAATAGAACTACCCTGCATCCGCTCATTGCTATGTTTGTATTTCAACAGTGGAAGATTAAAAAAAAATATTAAAAAAATACGTTGTGTGTTTAGCAATAGTTATTTTTTAATAGAGCCACAGAGCCAATTGAGATTTACTCATAACATTGGGCTAGTCGTCGTTAACTTTAAAAAAAAATTCTCCTCTGGAATTAATAATCGAACAGACTAGGCCAATCAGGATCCCTTTTTGGCCCCAAAATATAGAATTATTACAAATTTGGTTAAAAATGTAAACTTTAACGCTATTCATAAGAAAGTGGAATGCATTTGTTACATAAATATGAGTCGTCTATGACAACACAATGGACACGCGTCAGATACTTGAATTATTATGTCATGCAAAAATACTGAAATTTTAGCATTTGTGCTAATTGTAAGATGGTTTTTGTCTTGAATGGAAGTGGTGGCACTTGTGTTAAATCTTAATATTAGAATAACAATATTGTATGTAATGAAAATGCATTACATATATACAGTCTGCCAAAAGTTAAGCACCACCTAAATATAACTGGCAGTATTTTTTTTAACCATTTCGAAACAAATATTTATGTTTGGTGTTATGCATTACCTATAACATACACTAAGAGAATTAATTACGACAAAAAAAAAAATAAACTCCGATAAACACGCCAAGCAATTTTTTATTAAAGGTCATCTGCACTTTTTCGAATACACTGTTTCGATGCCTTTAAATCATCTTCCTACTGTCCCGCTCACAGGTGAAATTTAACCTTCACCAAGTTACTGTGAAATATGGCAAGGGATAAGTTATATGGGACTGAACCTTGACAAGGAGCACTAGTTGCATAGGTAACCATACCAATGTTAAACACACCGTCATTGTCAGATTTTTACAACGTCATGTTGACACAGGAACTGTAAATGATAGACCAAGGTCCGGAAGACCCCGTTTAACTACCGATCGTGATGACAGACTCCTTATTGGTTGTGCTGAAGCCAACCCATTTACTCCTGCCCCACAACTTAGACACCACTGGCGTCAAGATGGTCATATTAGTGTTCGAACATTGGTCCGTCGACTTCATAGAGGCTACCTAAGAGCACGTCGTGTTGTCAAGAGACCTGCCCTAACAGCCAGGCACCGTATAATCAGGTTTCAAAGGGTTAATGACCATCGACGCTGGAACATGAGAAGCTGGAAAAATATTCATTGGTCAAATGAGAGTCAAGTTTCTGTTACGACCAATAGACGGCAGAATACGAGTTTGTCGTGGAAATAAAACTGCTAATGACCAAAACAACATTTGCCCAACGACTGCATACGTTGCTGGTGGTGTTACTGTATGGGGTTTCTTCTCATACTGTTGTAAGGTGGGTATGCATATTCTGCAGGGTAACATGAACGGACAGACATACAGGGATTTGGTGCTTAAAAATTTTGTAGTCCCTCATTTTGATAATTTCACTTGCTTTAAGACCCTTGTGCATGTACGACAATGCTAGACCACACAGGGCAAGGATTGTAACCGAGTACAAAGTGTACAAAGAGCAAGAAGCCATTGACACTATCTTTTGGCCTTCCATGTCTCCAGACATGAACCCTATCGAACATGTCTGGGATGCCATTGGCAGAAATCTCAATCGCAGATATCCATCTATGCAAAATCTTAGCGATTTAAGAAGCCCAATTGTTGCTGAATGGAATACATTTGCTCAACTAAAGTTCAGAAGGCTTGTACAGAGTATGAGACTCCGTGTTATGGAACTGTACCAGAAGAGAGGGTGTTACACATCCTATTGACTCAAATATTGACATTAAATTTGCCGAACATACCAAAGATTATTTGTAGAGACTTTTAATGATATTGGGTGATTAATTGTTGTAAAAAAATAAAATCACAGTGAAACTTAAATTCCGTTTCTGATTTGTGTAATTTTCACTATTTCTATGAACGCAAATTTCAAATGCATAGAACCTGCATAGGTGAACAAACGTAAGTCTACGGTTTGTTTATGGTATATGTTAGCAAAATTGCTACATGATAATTTTCTCTTTTTCGAGAATTAACTGATTTTTTTAAATGAAAAAAATTTCGATGCAATAAAACTAGGTGGTGCTTAACTTTTGGCTTAACTGTATATAAATGTTGAGACTGAAAATGAATTTGGCAACTTCCATTTTAGACAAAAAAAAAACATCCTCAAAATGAAATTTAATAGCAAATTTAATAGATTTTCATATTTGAACTTGAATTCTAGCATTTGTAATGACCAAATCAGTTCAAATCTTTAACACAAACTGATTGATTCAAGTGAAGTACACACTTAAGTGTCTAAAATGTAACTTATCTTTTACCGGACTTCTCCTTAAACCAGATTTGGACACAGTTATCATTAGGGTATGTACTTAAAATGTATCCCATGATGGCTGTCATGGCTTAGATAGAATATAGGAGTAAAATGCAAGTTTAAATTGTCTATCATCATGAAAATTGTTATAACTAGAAGCATTAAGTTTTACCCTTGTATATCTGTATGTACGTACGTACGTCCGTCCGTACATCCCAGAGTTGGTTTCCGTTCTCTAACTTTAGTTTGCCTCAACCAAATGTTATCAAACTTTGCACAATGCTTATTACAACAAAACACAGATCAAGTTCGAAATTGGGTGGCATCACTTTTACAGTTTAGGAGTTATGCCCCTCTATAAACAAACAAAATGCTGAATTTTTCGTTTCCGTCCTCTCATTTGAGTTTACCTCAACCAAATGATATATACATATACATTGCTTATTGCTACATAATACAGATCAATTTCGAAATTAGGTGGCGTCACTTTTACCGTTTTGGAGTGAATTAATGCTCCTTTATAAACATAATAATTGCTGAATTTTTCGTTTCCGTTCTCTAACTGTTGTTTGCC